TGTATTGGGTATTTGTGCCAAATTTGGTCCAGTGAATGAAAATACATCCTGCATATCAGATATTAACATTATGATTTATAACAGTAGCAAAATTACAGTTATGAAGTAGCAACGAAAATAATTTTATGATTGGGGGTCACCACAATATGAGGAACTGTATTAAGGGGCCATGGCATTAGGAAGGTTGAGAACCACTGTTCTAGGTTCATCTTTCTGTTCAGCCAGAGTTTGGCAGGTCAGCTTGGCATTTGGACAACCCTGCATGAGATGAGCAGGAAGAGCAGATGCATTTCTGCCTTATTTTGGAAGATATATGGGGACATGGTAAGAGTAAAAATTAGTGACAAACTTGGCTTATTGATTTTTAAAAAACCTCTAAAATAAAATTGGCACGTTTAGACTTAAGTGCAGAAAATCAGGACTCAGCTTAACATATTGTGGTAGCGGTCATACCAAGTACTTGGCTCACAACACAAGACCCATGTTCATAGTATCAATGGGAGCTACTAAAAATAGGTTCTCAGATGCGGCAGTCAGTGTGGGGTTAATGCGTTAAACCAACACAACAGCGACTTTGCCATCTGTTAAATGCTGTGCTGATCTCCTAAGGATACAATTTCAAGATGCTTTTATTAGCTGTTTGGATTTCCCATTTCTCTACAAGGTTTTTATTTTTGTTGTTGTTGTTGCATGAACGACATTTCAAGAGCCATGATGGAAACTGCAGCTCTCCAGACTAGAACTCCTAGTATTCCTCACTATTGGCAGTGCGGCTAAAGTGACTGGAAACTGCAGTCCAACAACATCTGGAAACACACACAAGTCCCATCCCTGTGTGTAACCTTTTAGGGAATGTAATGCTGAAGATAGGCATGCATTTGTATTAGCTTTTGTTGTGCACACCAGCCTTGTACGCTTGATACTTCTTGGTATGGATAACGTTTCCCCAGAACCAGAATCAGCAATGCTCCTGGTCCCATTCACACTATACTACTACAGTACCTTGCTATATTATAGAACTCCTATATGCTGCTGACAACATATTCTGTGCGCATTCAGAAGAAGACCTACAAGCCACTCTAAACACCTTTGCAGAAGCATACGAGATGCTCAACCTCTCATTGAACATTGAGAAAATCAAAGTGCTCTTCCAGTAGATACCAGTCAATCCCTCTGCAATGCCAGAAATACAGCTTAGAAAATGTTGACCATTTCCACTACCTTGGCAGTCATCTCTCCACAAAAATCAACACTGACACTGAAATGCAATACCGTCTGAGCTCTGCAAGTGCAGCATTTTTCCAAATGAAGCAGAGAGTGTTTGAGGACCGGGACATCCATAGGGATACAAAGGCGCTTGTTTATAAAGCTATTGTCCTCCCAACCCTGTCATATGCCTGCGAAACGTGGACTGTCTACAGACGTCATACGCAACTCCTTGAACGATTCCATCAGCATTGCCGCTGAAAAATCTTGCAAATCTCTTGGGAAGACAGGTGGATAAATGTCAGAGTCCTGGAAGACGCAAAGACCACCAGCACTGAAATGATGCTCCTACGCTATCAACAATACTGCCCGATTACAATCTCCCGAAGCAGTTACTATACTCCCAACTCAAGAACGAAAAATGGAATGTTGGTGGACAAGAAAAGTGATTTAAAGATGCGCTTAAAGTTAACCTTAAAAACTGTGCCATAGACACTGAGAACTGGGAAGCCCTGTCCCTAATTGGAGGTCAGCTGTGACTAGCAGTGCTGTGGAATTCGAAGAGGCACGAACGGAGGATGAAAGGGAGAAATGTGCCAAGAGGAGGGCACATCAAACCAACACTGATTGGGACTGCCTTCCACCTGGAAATTGATGCCCTCACGGTGGAAGAACATGCGGATCAAGAATAGGACTCCACTACATATCCACAGCCAAGACACTACACTTGGATGAGGGATCGCCTAAGTAAGTAAAGTACTTTGCCATGGCTCCTTCCTATGGAATCCCAAGATCTGTAATGCTGTGAGGGGTTTTGAATTCTCTGCCAGAATTCCATAGCATGCCCCTCAAGCAAGTTATTATCATGGTATTATAACCACAGTGTGAAAGGCACCCATTTGTGGAAATGTCACTTTTTCATGTATTCTGGCCCCACCTTGAGTATTTTGCATACCAAGCAATTCCTGAAAACTGCCCCGAGGCTTTTTAGAGCTTTTCTCGGATAGGAGGTCTAAGCTGCGGAATTTCCTGCTCATAGAGGTTGTCATGGCATCTTCCCTACCGGCTTACTGGTGGCAAAGGAAAACCACTTAAAGGACAAGTCAAAATATTTACATTGAATACATTTGGGGCTTTGCTTCATGCCGGGGCCCTTCATTTTATTCATTGCCTGCTATTTTATTTTAGGAGCCCCTGGTGGTGCAGGGGTTAGACTGCTGAGCTGCTGAATTTGCTGACTGAAAGGTCAGTAGTTCAAATTTGGGGAGTGGGGTGAGCTCCTGCTGTTAGCCCCAGCTTCTGGCAACCTAGCAGTTTAAAAACATGCAAATGTGGGTAGATCAATAGGTATCACTTCAGTGGGAATGTAATGACGATCCCTGCAGTCATGCTGGCCACATGACCTTGGATGTGTCTACGGACAATGCCGACTCTTTGGCTTAGAAATGGAGATGAGCACCACACCCAGAGTCGGACACAACTAGACTTCATGTCAAGGGGAAGCCTTTACCTACTTTGTCTTAATTTATGTGCCTCTGCATTTTCTTCTACAGCGCATGGAAAAGCAGTACATAAATGTAAACAGGGGCGGCGAGGGGAAGCTCCCTGCTCTGCTGACAAGGAGCAGTCAAAGCTCAATCCACTCGAAGGCAGAGGATCTGCTTTGGGGGATCAAATCTTGGATAGACCAACAAGGTGTGTTATTTTAAAGGTTGTTTAAATGCTCAGTTTTGTGCAACTATGACCAGGCTGTGGATCTCTCTTCCTCAGGAACCTGATCATTCCCCCCTTTAATACCCTTTCAAAAAGTTGCAAGAGGGTGGGTACATCCTTCCTTTCTAGGAAAGTGCTTAGTTTATTGATTAGCGATTTCTTCCTCTGCTTTTTAACTATCCCCGCTTTTAAAAAAATACATTTACTGCTTCTGTTGGTGCATTGTTGCTTAAAAAAACCCACCTGAATGTGTTTTTAATTTTTAAACCAAATTCAACAGATATATAATTTTATTATTTTTGTTAAAACTGCTAGATTTTTAAAAGATTTTTTAATAAATAAATAAATGAATGAATGAATACGACCTACTGTGTGGAGTTGGGATCATGGAGGGGAAGAAATAAGTAAGGAAAGAGGAAGACATGAATGGCTCCTGGGTTGGAGAGGCACACATACAATTGTCATGATAGCATGCTTTCCATTGCGTTGGGATCCTGTTTACAGTTATGATGAGTCTTGTTCTCCTACTGAAGCCATGAACACGGCACAAGGAGGAAGGGTAAGAGCACAGTGGTGTCCACATGCACGTGGTGGCTGGGCTGGAGTGGGCATTGAATAGCTTCATCCACCTTACGAGCCACAGTAGCACTATGGGTTAAACCCTTGTGCCGGCTGAACTGCTGACCTGAAGACTTAAATGTCAGTGGTTCGAATCTGCGAGATGGTGTGCGCTCCCATCTGTCAGCTCCAGCTTCCCATGCGGGGACATGAGAGAAGCCTCCCACAGGATGGTAACACATCCGGGCATCCCCTGGGCAACATCCTTGCAGACGGCCAATTCTCTCACACCGGAAGAAACTTGCAATATATTCTCAAATTGCTTCTTACACGATAAAAAAACTCCCACCTTAAAATAAGTACATGGACATCTCAAATGCTTATGGTTCTAAACTGGTGGCTGACTTGCAAGCAATTGCTTGCTGGCCTTTGAACTGATGACTTTGAACTGATGGCTTTAAATAAATCATCCATGATCGTCGAAGGCTTTCATGGCTGGAATCACAACTCCTTTCTTGGTGCGGCATGTCCTAGAAGGCCACATGGAATAGATGGATGGTATGGTGTAGAATACAAACTAGACTACACAAATATTCATCCGTGCTATGTTCAGGCACACTCTCGTGCATGTGCACCACTGCCCTATTACGCTTATGTTTCATCACCCCCAAAAATGACTTGATGAAGGACAAGGAGACTTCTGTGTGGCTCAAAACCCCCTTTTTTCGTGGTAAAAGATGTGAAAGTGAATGTGGAAATGTAAACACTATACATTTTCTAAACCAAAAAGAGCCATAAAAATATTCACATTTTAGATCAACAGTTATAAACATTCTCATTCCAAAAGCACAAGTACATTTCAGTTCTCCCCACCCCACAACAGAAACATAAAAATATACCTCTCCCATTGCTAACCTGCTTCGATAATTAGTAATATTGAATGAAGAGCCAAGAGCGTCAACAATCCACTGGCTGATTACCAGATGATGGCTTCTAATTACCTACAACACTTTGGGTGGCTATTCTGGAGAAAGGGGAGACTCCTCAGGGATCCAGAACACAGCTGTTTATCTCTTCATTTGAAGAAAATGCCATCTGTTTTCCAAAGTAGAATTGGGATACTGTTGGGCCCTTTAGACAACATTAGACTACAAAATGCACCATCCCTTGGCTTCACTTGCTGGAGATGATGGATGTCACAGTCTCATGATAATTTAGGGATGACAGCCTTTGCACTCCAGAATCCTCTTCATATCGTTTTCTAGAAGAGTATAGCTCTCACTTCAGCCAATGAGAACTGAAAAGGTATCTTGAAGACCCATGATGGCACATTATTTCGTGTGTGCATGTGTTAATCTTTCTTAACCAAAAGAACCAGGTGTCAAACGGCTTTTCCCAAAGTGCTTCAAAATGGCAACCAAGAATCTTTTGGAACACGAGCACTTCTTGTTGCACAGCTTAAAAACTCTAGAAGGATTGCAATGGTTTTTATATGGCTGTGGGGTTCGGGGGGGGGGGGGGGGGGGGGGGGGGGGCAAATGGAGCTAAATTTCCCTTCCCAGCATCCCTTGGTAATGTGTACCTGAGTTGCAGGTAAGAGGGAGGCACCTGTTCCATCTGGAATAGAGATACTTGCATGTTTTTGACCAGAGCTGCAACTGGGGGTTGATTCTACTCTGTTAGAATGGTCAATAAGCAATGCACACCCTTTCTCTTTCTTAAAAAATACATTAGAAGTGGAAATGCACTGGGCATGATGAACTGGGAACAGTGCCTCACCACACAAGCCCATGAGACATGATGACAGCGAGTGATGCATTTTGGCTAGTTAAGGACTTCAACCAATGGACAAGTGGTTCTCCTGGATTTAATCTGGTTGAAAGTAGTCTACCCCCTCCAGAGCGGGCAAGCAGACTGAGCACCATTCAGATTTCAGTGGCAATGATGTCCTCATAAGGAACATCAGTGCCCTGGAGGTCAAGCTCTAAGGGCTCCTTGCCATCCTCTCCTGCAGCCAACTCATGAAGCATCTTCTCCAAATTCTGGTTTCGTTTGTACATGTGCAAGTAACTCTGCTGCAGCTGCTTCTGGTAGTGGATCACTTTCTCTTTTTCCTCTTTCCAGGTCTGTCGTTCCTGCTGGAAGCCAGTTGTCATGTGCTCGTTGTTGTTCCGCTCCTCCTGCAACTCCACTTTCAGCTTCTCCACTTCTCTCCATAGAGCTTGGGCATCCTCGGCCACGTTGGCCTCCAGGCTTCCTGGGGCCATCCCACACTTCATCTCCTCTCGGAGGATTGTCAGTTCTGTTCTGAGCTCTGCAATTTCCTGCTCCAACAAGTTCACCTTCTCCCTCAGCAGTTCTGACTCGTTCTTCTTGCGTTGAAGCTCATTTTCACTCACATCCAACTCCATAGCCTTGGCATGCAGAGACTCTTCCAAGTCCTGGATTTTCATCTCTAATAGTTCCATCTTCGCTCGAACATCCTTCAGTTGAGCTTTCATGTTAAGGACCTCATTGATCTTGCTGTTGAGTTCTGTTTGGGATTCCTTCAGCTGCTGTTTAAGCAGAGAGATTTCCCCAGACTTCTGACAAACCTGTAAAACACAAGACAACAAGTGTCAGGCTATCTGCTAGATACTTGGCCTGTTGCAGTACCCAAACTGCAGTGCAATGCAGTTTGGCACTGGCCACCACATGTATATAGTATTTATGAGAACAGATTAAAAAGTTGGTAACCAGAGGTGGAGAGTGCATCTCTTCAGGAATAATCTGTCAGAGGCACATGACAATGGTGTAACTGGGAAGCCCTAGCCCTTCAGCGCTCCAGCTGGAGGTCAGCTGTGACCAGCAGTGCTGTAGAATTTGAAGAGGCATGGATGGAAGGTGAAAGAGAGAAACATGCCAGGAGGAAGGCATGTCAAGCCAACCCCGACCGAGACTGCCTTCCACCTGGAAACTAATGCTCTCACTGCGGGAGAAGATGCAGGTCAAGAATAGGGCTCCACAGTTACCTATGGACCCACCAGTACACTGATCTTGGAAGACTATCCTACTTGGACAACGAGAGATTGCCTAAGTAAGTAAGTAAGTAAGGTGTACCAAAAAGAACACAAAGATAACAAAATAGTGAGGGAATGTTACTTTTGAACAACAGTACAAATTACCATTGGTCATGATAGTGGGATATCCTGGGAACTGTAATCTAAAACCAATTCGGGGTAGGAAGATCTTCCTGGGTCCTAGTTTATTTATTTATTTACTATATTTATATACTATCCCTCTCAACCTGCAGCTAACTTGGGGCGGTTTACAGTTGGTAGCAAGACCATAAAATACAATTATAATACAATTAAAAACATTAAGATAATGCTGCATTTGGCTATAGACAAATGGGACTCAGGACAACAATTCGATGCTGACACAATATAAACATATAATAAAACTCAATCAAATACCTAAAAACAAATGTAAACATACATTAAAACAGTTTTCCAGGTTAAAAACATCATCCAAATCAGTCCAAATTGCAGTCAAATACATCTCATATTTGCCAGTAAAATCAGTCTAAGCTGCAAATGCTTGCTCCCATAACCAGGATTTAAGTTTCTCCTGGAAGGTCAGGAGGGAGGGGGCAGATCTAACCTCCTTAGGGAGGGGGTTCTATGGCAAGCACATAGAAATCAATAGATATCATCCGAGACTTGGAACATCTAAGGTCATATGGTGAGAGAGCGCCATCTCCTGATTATTTAATGTAAATAGCAGGCAATTTCAGAAACTCTTTTATTTTAAGCAAGTTTCTTTGGTTTTCATATTAACAACTAAGTAATTGAGGCTGAATTTAACTAAAAAGAGATTGCCTTGATCAAATCTTATGTTATAAGTATATAAAACTACTGACTCACATACCACAGACCTTACACTCATCCCAAAACCCCTATCCTAAACAAAATAAACCCTCATCCCCACACCCGTGCACCCTTCACCATGATTTCCCACACCGAAGCACTACGAAGCCTTTAAGCCTATTTATCTATCCTTATTCATGGTAAATCTAAATTCCTAATGGAGCTCCTCTATATTACTGACTCTCTATTCAGATATGCCATGCCAACTTCCATTTTTCTAGAAAGTCCTCATTACTCTTATTCCTCCTGTTATAAGTTAGTCTGGCCATTAGCATATATTCTCACATTCTTTCCCTCCAATCCTTTTTGGTTAGACCTTTTCCCCCTTTCCAATCTTTGGCTATGGTCAATCTTGCCGCTGCAAAGCTATATTGATATATTTCTTGGTCCTTTTGATTATTGTTTTCTCTCTGTAGACCTAGCAGTCACAGTCCTGGGCTTTTTAAAATCTTGTTATGTAACATTTTATTTGTCTCCTTAATGACCTTATCCCAAAATTCCTGTATGATCACACAGGTCCACCACATGTGGAGGAATGTCCCTTTCTGTTTCCTGCACCTCCAGCAAATGCCTTGTTGTGACTTGTCTATTTTGGCCAATGTTACTGGAGTGATATAACACCTATAAAACATTTTGTATTGATTCTCCCTGATTAAACCTGATAAAGTAAATTTGAATTCTTTGTTCCATAGGTATTCCCATTTGTCCAATTCTATTGGTCTGCCTAGGTCCTTGGCCCAGGATATCATTACTGTCTTAACTCTGTTGTCCTCCATATTATAGCTTAGTATGTATTTGTATAATCTAGAGATTACCCCTTTTCCCATATTCTTTCCAATTCCCTTTTCCCATATTCTTTCCAATTCTGATTCTTTGGTTGCAAATCCAATCCTCAAGTCTTTTTTGTATCTTTCATGCAGTTGGTGATAACGAAACCAATCATTAATCTCCAATTCTTCCCACCCTTTTAATTTCCACTTTTCATTTTCTCTAATAAGGTATTCTTTATATGTTCTTGTTTCTACCCTTAATGTTGGTCTTGTAACTGCTTCTAGTGGCCTCAGCCAAAGGGGTTTTTTTTTGGTTCCATACCTTTTCTGTATTTTTTCCAAATATACAATAGTCCCCCTCTAATTATATGTTTATTAAAATGTGCTGATTTCCTGAATGTTATGGAAAAAAATTAATACAAAGTTCTGACTGAAAGCAGTGGAAAACAGGCAGAAATAGTAAGTCTATGTGTATTAAGATATGTAAATGATAATAATTTGTACTTAATGACAAAATTAACTAATTGATTGAATAAGGTATATAGGCATATACACATCAAAAATATTGGTACTTGATTATATTTGCCATGATTTGCTTTTCTGTAATGTTGTTGTTGTTGTTGTTCATTCGTTCAGTCGTCTCCGACTCTTCGTGACCTCATGGACCAGCCCACGCCAGAGCTCCCTGTCGGCCGTTACTACCCCCAGCTCCCTCAAGGTCAGTCCAGTCACTTCAAGGATGCCATCCATCCATCTTGCCCTTGGTCGGCCCCTCTTCCTTTTCCTTCCACTTTCCCCAGCATAATTGTCTTCTCTAGGCTTTCCTGTCTCCTCATGATGTGGCCAAAGTACTTCAACTTTGTCTCTAGTATCTTTCCCTCCAGTGAGCAGTCGGGCTTTATTTCCTGGAGGAGGACTGGTTGGATCTTCTCGCAGTCCAAGGCACTCTCAGAACTTTCCTCCAACACCACAGCTCAAAAGCATCGATCTTCCTTCGCTCAGCCTTCCCTAAGGTCCAGCTCTCACATCCGTAGGTTACTACAGGGAATACCATGGCTTTGACTAGGCGGATCTTTGTTGCCAGTCTGATGTCTCTACTCTTTACTATTTTATCGAGATTGGACATTGCTCTCCTCCCAAGAAGTAAGCGTCTTCTGATTTCCTGGCTACAGTCTGCATCTGCAGTAATCTTTGCACCTAGAAATACAAAGTCTGTCACGGCCTCCACGGTTTCTCCCTCTATTTTCCAGTTGTCAATCATTCTTGTTGCCATAATCTTGGTTTTTTTGACGTTTAGCTGCAACCCGGCTTTTGCGCTGTAATGTACCATAATTAAAATAAACAGTTTTAACTTAAAAAAAAAGATCACTACTGACTGAAAGGTCATGAGTTCGAAGCCAGCTCAGGTTGGAGTGAGCTTCCGACCAATTTGTGTAGCTTGCTGTCAACCTTTGCAGCCCGAAAGACAGTTATTATTTATTATTATTTACAGCTTTTATATTCCGCCCTTCTCACCCCGCAGGGGACTCAAGGCGGATTACAGTGTACACATATATGACAAACATTCAATGCCAATTTTGACATACAAACATATACAGACATAGACAGAGGCTATTAACTTTTTCTGGCCGCCGGGGAGCTGTTGCTTTCATCGTCCATCTGCGATGCTGATGAAGCACTTCCGCATTCCCACATGCTTCCCCGCTGGAATGCTTTGCTGGAGTCTTCTTTATGGCCTCATAAATCAGTTAATTTAGCCTCCCCACACTTTAAGGTGGTACCTTATTTTCCTACTTGACAGATGCAACTGTCTTTCGGGTTGCAAAGGTCGACAACAGGCTACACATAATTGGTTGGAAACCCACTCCAACCCGGGCTGGCTTCGAACTAATGACCTTTTGGTCAGAGTGATCTTAATGCAGCTGACACTCAGCCTGCTGCGCCACAATCCCGGTGCTTTGTACACATATATGACAAACACTCAATGCCAATTTTGACATACAAACATATACAGACATAGACAGAGGCGATTAACTTTTTCTGGCCGCCGGGGAGCTGTTGCTTTCATCGTCCATCTGCGATGCTGATGAAGCACTTCCGCATTCCCACATGCTTCCCCGCTGGAATGCTTTGCTGGAGTCTTCTTTATGGCCTCATAAATCAGTTAATTTAGCCTCCCCACACTTTAAGGTGGTACCTTATTTTCCTACTTGACAGATGCAACTGTCTTTCGGGTTGCAAAGGTCGACAACAGGCTACACATAATTGGTTGGAAACCCACTCCAACCCGGGCTGGCTTCGAACTAATGACCTTTTGGTCAGAGTGATCTTAATGCAGCTGACACTCAGCCTGCTGCGCCACAATCCCGGTGCTTTGTACACATATATGACAAACATTCAATGCCAATTTTGACATACAAACATATACAGACATAGACAGAGGCTATTAACTTTTTCTGGCTGCCGGGGAGCTGTTGCTTTCATTGTCCATCTGCGATGCTGATGAAGCACTTCCGCATTCCCACATGCTTCCCCGCTGGAATGCTTTGCTGGAGTCTTCTTTATGGCCTCATAAATCAGTTAATTTAGCCTCCCCACACTTTAAGGTGGTACCTTATTTTCCTACTTGACAGATGCAACTGTCTTTCGGGTTGCAAAGGTCGACAACAGGCTACACATAATTGGTTGGAAACCCACTCCAACCCGGGCTGGCTTCGAACTAATGACCTTTTGGTCAGAGTGATCTTAATGCAGCTGACACTCAGCCTGCTGCACCACAATCCCGGTGCTTTGACAGTTGCATCTGTCAAGTAGGAAATTTAGGTGCCACTTATGTGGGGAGGCTAATTTAACTAATTTACGAGGCCATAACCTCCAGCAAGCATGCAAAGAATGAGGAAGTACTTCATCAGTGTCACAAATAGACGGTGAAGCGACAGCTCCCCTGGTGGCCAGAATACCCTCATGAAAAAGCTGGATTGTTAAATAGCCTCTGAGTGTCTGTGTATATAATGTTATGTGTCTATGGTATTGAATGTTTGCTATGTATATGTATATTGTAATCCACCCTGAGTCCCCTGTGGTGTGAGAAGGGTGGAATATACATACTGTAAATAAAATAAATAAATAAAAATCTCATCCGCACCAAATGCGACTGCGATGGTGGTGGGACCAAGAGCAGGACCTCCCCGGATGATCTTAAAGTCTTTGATGGTTCGTATAATAAAGTTATTATAAGAATAAAGTTATTATTACTGTTTCCACAGATGTGGCGCTATACTGCACCATCCTGGGCCAGACTGAATAAATGAAACTTAAACAAGCATGGTTTCTTCATGTTCAGATATCTAATCACAATGCAGACTTTTCACCCTGTTTGTATGCAAACACAACTCCTGTACAAAGATGAAAAGAGAAGTTCCTACAAGAAAAAGCAACCTCACCTCCCACTGTGTTTCCTCCAGTGCTGGAGCAAAGGCGGTCTTCTCTTTCTCGTAGGACCTTAGTTTGGTCTCCAGGAGATCCTGCTCCTTCATCAGGTTTGCCAGTTCCTCTCGGAGCTGCTTCTTCTCCTGCTGCAGCTGGAAGACCTGGAGCTGCAGAAGCTGCTGCGCCCGCTGGCTCTTCTGTGAGGTCTGCTTGAGTTTGTTGTTGCACTTCTGCTTTAGCAGCTCCATTTCATCCCTGCAGCGCCTCTGTTTTTCCTCATAGCTTTGGCAGGACGTGATCTCCTTCTCCTCAAAGCTGCTTTGGAGCTCCTGCAACTCACCTTCCCTCTCCAGCAGCTTTTGCTCCAACTCATGGATGGCTGACTCCTCTGTGGAGATTGGGGAGCGGATGCAGGAATTCTCAGTAGGTTGGGGATGGGCAGTGGCAGCAGCAGTTTTGCCTGGATTGAGGATTTTGGTTCCCCCGTCAGAGAACGACAAAGCCTTGAGGCTCATCATGTTACTGTTCTGAAGGATGGCACACTGAGTGATGTTGTGGGCAGAGCCCCCAAATCGGCTAATGGGCCCCACTGGGGCAACAAGAGGGTCCAACTGGTAGCTGCTGGCTGTACTGTGAGTCGGGAGGCTTGACATGGAGTTCCGCCCTGAGTCTGATAGTCCCCCAGAGCACAAAGCTGTCTTAAGGTCCGCATCTTTAGCTTTGTCCTGAGACTGGAGCGACTGAGAGGTATGGCTACCATGTTCTGGAGAAGAGTGGAGGACTGTGTTGGAACGAGGGAGCACAGGCTTGAAAGCGGTGGGCCTGGCAATATTCTTGTCTGGGCCCTGAAAAGAAAGAACAATCAGCCTGTTACTGCAGGTTCAGAAGTATCCCACAACTGACCCTTTTTACTTGTTACTGAAGAAGACATATGTGTGTGTCACTTTCCCCTATGAAGATCAATGGACACATGTAGGTTAAACCACTGGTAATAGTACAGCAACCACAGAGCTGCTGAACTTGCTGCCTGAAAGGTCACTGGTTTGAATCCAGGGAGCAAGGTGAGCTCCCACTGTTAGCTCCAGCTTCTGACAACCTAGTAGTTTGAAAACATGCAAATGTGAGTTGATCAATAGGTACTGCTCCATGCAGCCATTTATTTATTTATTTACAGTATTTATATTCCGCCCTTCTCACCCCGCAGGGGACTTCAGGCCGAATTACAATGTACATATGTATGGCAAACATTCAATGCCATAGACACACAACATATATAGACAAACAGTCAGAGGGTATTTAACATTCCAACTTTTCCTGCCACCAGGGGAGCTGTTGCTTCACTGTCCATCTGCGACACCAATGAAGTACTTTCTCATTCCCCGCATTCTTGCTGGAGATTTTTATGGCCTTGTAAATTAGTTAAATTATCCTCCCCACATAAGTGGTACCTAAATTTCCTACTTGACAGATGCAACTGTCTTTTGGGCTGCAAAGGTCGACAACAACCTACACAAATTGGTTGGAAGCTCACTCCGACCCGGGCTGGCTTCGAACTCGTGACCTTTCAGTCAGTAGTGATCTTAATGCAGCTGACTCCCAGCCAGCTGCGCCACACTTCCAGCCTTGCCAGCCACATGACCTTGGGGGTGTCTACGGACAATGCTGGCTTAGAAATGGAGATGAGCACCAACCCCCAGAGTCGGACACGACTGGATTTAATGTCAGGGGAAAACCTTTACCTTTAAACAAAATTCATATTAGTTATTCCATTCATACCCCTACTTCCCTCCCCAAGCTAAACAGGTATAGACCTCATTTAAGATGCTTATGTTATATACCTGCATGGCAATTCTATGCCTAAAGCTGGAGCACTGCAGGCAGCAGTGCCTGGCCTATTAAAAGCAGAAGTAAGAGGAAAATGGAATTTGCTCCTCATTATTTCCCTCCCATTGAGAGCAATATGACGGAAACAATCTCACCTCCGTTTTTGGTCTCAAAGTTCCTCAAGCAGTATGGATAGGCGTGGAAAGGGCTATGGATCCTGCAGATCTAAAGGTTTGCCCATATTAGGAGCCTGTTCGCTTCCCCATGGTTGGGGAAATGAAAACTATAGAATTTTCCAAGATAGCAAAAAGAATGCTATCAACCTCTGAGGATGCCTGCCATAGATGTGGGTGAAATGTCAGGAGAGAATGCTTCTGGAACATGATGACACAGCCCAGAAAGCTCACAGAAACCCAAAGAAAATGGCATCTGAGGTCAATATCCAGTCTTCTTCTGAAGCCCAAAGTATACACTTTTAACAAACTAAACTAAATAAACAAAAACCACATTTTAATGTTGCAAGCAACAGCCCCATCTTGGGTGTTGCACGTGTGGTGGACCTTGTCTCTCCCTACTTCCTGAGGATGTATTCCTCTTACAGGTCCTCAAAGTTGAATGGGAACTATGCCAGCGCAGAACTGGACACCGAGGGAGCTCCCATTCAATTTTGAGAAATTGTTGGATGAGAAGCAGGAAAACACAGAGTGGTAATAAAGCGATGGGGATGATGATACAATGGTAGATTTTGAAGTTCAGCCTTTTATTGAGATACTATACACAAAGGGACACACACACACACACACACACACACAAGCTGTACCCCACCACATGTTGCTGTGGCCAACCTTCCTCTTTCTCTTCTCCTTTCTTTCTCCCCTTCCTTCCTTCCTTCCTTCCTTCCTTCCTTCCTTCCTTCCTTCCTTCCTTCCTTCCTTCCTTCCTTCTCTTCCTCCTTCCTTCCTTCCCCCCTTTTCTTTCCCTTCCTCTTTCTCCCCTCTCTACCTGTTCTTGGACTGCAACTCCCAGCAGTCCTCCTGATCGATCAATCTACCTATCTACCTATCTATCTATCTATCTATCTATCTATCTCTATCTAATCTAATCTAATCTAATCTAATCTAATCTAATCTAATCTAATCTAATCTAATCTATTTTATCTATCTGGAGGATTGCTGGGAGTTGCAGTCCAGGAATAGGAAATTGGAAATATGCAGGGATTGGGATACTTTCAAAGAAATTCAAGGAGAAGAAAGCTTGCAGCTTGGAAGCCGTGCATTTGGATCATCCTCCTCTCCTAAAGGGTCTAGAGGATGCTGGGAGCTGTGGTCTGGAAGAGAGTGTGGATATGCTATTGTGTGTTCTCTTTGCTGGGGGAGTTATTCTGCGCATGAGCGTCTTTTTGCTTTTGGGGGGCTTTTAAAGTCCTTTCTGCTGTGCTTTTCAGTGTTTTTATGAGTGATGATCACTCGTTGGCCTAACAGGTGTATTGTGTCCAGATTTCCGGTCAATTTGTTCAGTGGTTTTTGAGTTATGTTAATTCCACAAACAAATATTACACACACACACATATATATGCTAGCCATCCCCTGCCACGCATTGCTGTGGTTCAGTCTGGTGATCTGGAATATAAAGTAATGAGAAAATGTTGGTTTCTAATATATGTAATTTTTTATGCTTGTGAGCAAACAGTATTTCTTGCTGTTTCTTTGTCAATGTTGCTGTGGAAATTGTCTGGTTTGCCTACCCTGGAGCATGCAACATATAATTGCTCTTCTTTAGGGGTCCCTTTCAAATCTATGATACTATATCTGTGTGTGTGTGAATCATATATATCTATCTATATCTATGGCCAGATAGTTCTTTGTCAGGAGCGCTTTGATTATGTTTTCTTCCCTCAGTGAAGGGAGTTGGACTGGATGGCCTTAAGTATTTTCTGTTGGCCATGGGAGTTCTGTGTGGGAAGTTTGCCCCAATTCTTCCATTCATGGGGTTCAGAATGCTCTTTAATTGTTGGTGAACTATAAAACCCAGCAACCACAGGTCAGTGCCTACCAAACCATTTCAAGTATTTTCTGTTGGTCATGGGGGTTTTGTGTGCCAAGTTTAGTTCAATTCCATTGCTGATAGAGATCGGAATGCTCTTTGATTGTAGGTGACTATAAATCAGAGTAACTACAACTCTCAGATGTCAAGATCTATTTTCCCCAAACTCCATCTGTGTTCCTATCTGGGCATATGGAATATTTGTGCCAAGTTTGGTCCAGATCCATCATTGTTTGAGCCCACAGTCTGGGTGTAGGTGAACTACAACTCCCAAACTCAAGGTCAATGCCCACCAGACCCTTCTAGTGTTTTCTGTTGGTCATGGGAGTCTTGTGTGCCATATTTGGTTCAATTCCATCATTGGTGGAGTTCAGAATGCTCTTTGATTTTAAGTGAACTATAAATCCCAGCAACTACAACTCCTAAATGACAAAATCAATTTTTTTGAGTGATGGTCATCCCTTGGGTTAGTAGGTGTCTTGTGGCCAAATTTGGCGCAATTCGTCTAGCAGTTTTTTAGTTATGCTAATCCCACAAACGAACATTACATTTTTATTTATATAGATATAACACACACACACTACACACAGAAATTCTACACGCACAATATGTACCTAAACACTTGTAGCTATTTAACCTCTAAAAGAACAGTTTTGTTCCTAAATCTAGTCAAGACACCACACATTACTCTGTTAGTATATTTTCTGCCCACCTCCTTTGCTTTCCCTGTTCCTTCAAAGATTAGCTGCAGACCCCAATAACTGGAAAGGCAATCAATTTTCCCAGCAACAATGTATTGTTACTAGCTGCAGCTAATCTCTGAAGGAACAGGGAAATCAAAAGGAGGTGGGCAGATTATATATTGGTAACAATACACTGTTGCTGGGAAAATTGATTGCTTTTCCAGTTGGGGCTGCAGCTAATCTTTGAAGGAACAAGGAAATGAAAAGGAGGTGGGCAGATAATATCATAGTCTTGGCTCATCAAAATGTTTCAGGGCTTCAGCTTTGTAAACAGTACAACACAGGATAGGATAACATGGTGAGAAAGATTTTTGGCTTTTGTGCCACGCTTCTGGAGTTCCCAGATGGACAGTATTTCTCAACCTTCCTAATGCCGCGACCCCTTAACACAGTTCCTTATGTTGTGGTGACCCCCAACCATAACATTATTTTTGTTGCTACTTCTGGATGAAACTTGGCACCCTCAATAAGGGTTTGGTGGGCATTGACCTTGTGTTCGGGAGTTACAGTTCACCTACATCCAGAGAGCACAGTGGACTCAAACAATGATGGATCTGGATGAAACTTGGCACCCTCAGTATGCCCAAATGTAGAGTTTGGGGAAAATAGACCTTGACATTTGGGAGTCATAGTTGCTGGGATTTATAGTTCATCTACAATCAAAGAGCATTCTGAGCTCCACCAATGATGGAATTGAACCAAACTTGGCACACAGAATGCCCATGGCCAACAGAAAATACTGGAAGGTTTTTGGTGGGCATTGACCTTGAGTTCAGGAGTTGTAGTTCACCTACATCTAGAGAGCGCTGTGGACACAGTACCCCATGATCAACAGAAAATACTTAGTTTTCTGATGGTCTTTGGTGACCCTTCTGACACTCCCTCAAGACCCCCCCCCCCGAGGGTCCCGACCCCCAGGTTGAGAAACACTGAGTTAGATAGTGGGAAGAAGGATGATGAACTCCATTAGTTTTTGTTGAATTAATACAGATTAGATACTCATGATACTTTGACCAACTCACTAGTTCCAGCTGGTTGGAGACTGGCTTGAGTTTAGCAGGAGTTCCTGTGCCATAGTCCACACTGCTCCTCGCAGCCTGGCTTCCCAGATCCCCACCAGAGAGTGGTGTGTAGTCTGTCCGTTGAGCCTTCTGGTTGACCTTAATGTAAAAGAAGTCTTCATTTTTGTTGCCCTTTGAGTTGGACTTATTGTGGCTGGTTTCCTGAGAGAAGCCAAATTTCAGCAGCCCATCCGAATATCTGTTCAGTTTTTTCAGGTGGGATGACTTGCGCAGCTTGTACTGTGATGCCCGGCAGTGTTTGCTATGGAAGCTGTGCCCAGAGATAAGGCTACTGACACTTCCCATTATGGCTCCTGGGTGGAGGCTATACACAGAACAGTTAGTGCCCTGGTACTGTCTTCATGGGGGATGTCCTGACAGCTGGGAGAGAAGGATGGTGTTGTGGTCATAGCAGAAATTTCACTTTGCCAAGGATCCACTGACCTGCACAGAAGAAAGAAGGACATGAAAGCTTATGAGAATAGCAAAGGCAGCTTAGAAAATCTTCAGGACCAGCAATGAGGAAGATCTACATTTCAGCTCCATTTTAGTCAGTGACAGATTACATGATTGGATAAATTATGGTTTCATTTTATCTCCCTGATGATGAAATGGGAATAGCAGTGATTTTAGTCACAAATATTGGTGAACTGGCATTACAGCAGCCCCTGGTGTCACAATAGTCTAAACTCTTGTGCTGGCAATATTGCTGACCGAAAGGTCAGCAGTTCAAATTCAGGGAGCAGGGTGAGCTCTCATCTGTTAGCTCCAGCTTCTCATGCAGGGACATGAGAGAAGCCTCCCACAGGATGATAAAACATCCTTGCAGACGACCAATTCTCTCACACCAGAAACAACTTGCAGTTTCTCAAGTCGCTCCTAACATGGAAAAAAACCAAACAACTGGCATTATAACAAGCTCATAGATCCAAAGGATTAAGATGAAGAGTATTGTAGTAAACAAGCAGATGAATAGTTATCTGCACTAGTCTCCTGCAATATGAGGGAAAGATATTTATTTACTATATTTATATACCGTCCCTCTTAGTCCGCAGGCAACTCAGGGCGGTTCACAGTTGGTAACAAGACCATAAAATACAATTAAAAATATTAAAATTATAAAACCATAGCAAAATTAATAACAAAGAAAATTAATAACGAAGATACCAGACATGGAATTGAACCAAACTTGGCACACAGAACTCCCATGACCAACAGAAAATACTGGAAGGGCTTGGTGGGCATTGACCTTGAGTTCAGGAGTTGTAGTTCACCTACATCCAGAGAGCGCTGTGGACACAGTACCACATAACCAACAGAAAATACTGAGTTTTCTGATGGTCCTTGGTGACTCCTCTGACCCTCCCTTGCAACCCCCCCCCCCCCAGGGGTCCCGACCCCCAGGTTGAGAAATACTGGGTTAGATAGTGGGATGATGAACTTAGCACAGTTCCAGCTAGGCTTTAGTTATAGGGAGCATACTATGCCCCTATTAAAGCAGCTCCATTGGCTGCTGACAAATTCAAAGTGCAGATTATTACATATAAAGCCCTATATGCTTCGGGTCCAAACTATCTCAAGATCGCATTTCCTTTTATGAACTGGTGTGAGCTCTAAGATCTGCTAGGGAGGTCCTCCTCTTGGCCTCACTTCTATCTCAAGAACGGCTGGTGGGGATGAGAGAGAGGGCCTTTTCAGTGGTGGCCCCTCAGCTTTGGAATGCCCTCCCTAAAGAGATCACGTTAGCTCCCACTCTCCAAGCTTTCTGGACACAACTGAAAACATGGCTTTTTGTACAGGCCTTTGCACCAACATTAGTACTTTATTCACAAAGCCTGAGGACCTAGTGATTGATTCACTTTATGGACTGAGACGGTACACAGCTTGTTTTTATCCACAGCCTTGATGCGTTTGTTGGATTTTAAAATGGTAGGATTTTATTAGTATGCTGTTTTATGTAAATGTATGCTGTTTATTAGTCATAGGCCTGGTTACTGTTTCATCCATTTATTTTGTGTTTTCATACTGTTTGTTTCACTCGGATGGCAGAAAACGGTACACCCCCCTCCAGTATGGAAATATCAGTGAAACAAAAGTACTTTCAGCCTACAAGTCACACATGAACTCTCTTTTGAAAGAGACCCTCTAGCCCTAAAACTGAGGGGAAGGGGAGCATGGAAAGCCCAGCCATTAACACCAATGGGACGAAAATATTTGTTTTTTCGGACATGGTACGAAAAAACTCATTCTGAAAGGCATCCGTTTTCAGGAGAGGTGCTCGAAAATGAAAATGGGGCCTTACAAATGAAACAAACAGAAATGGATAGTGATTCTATACAAATGCACAAGACTACTGTTTATATGCAAATATATGTTGTTTTTTTGTAAACATATGCTGTTTTTGTTGCAGCAGAATTGTGTGCTTTTTGTGAGCCGCCCCGAGTCCCTTTGGGGAGATGGTGGTGGGGTATAAATAAAGTTGTTGTTGTTGTTGTTATTGTTGTTGTTGTTATTATTATTATTATTATTATTATTATTATTCAAGGTGCAGGTCATGACCTATAAAGCCCTAAACAGTTCGAGCCCCGCCTATCTCCGCGATCGCATCTCCTTCTATAAACCGGTGCAAGCTCTAAGATCTTCCGGGGAGGCCCTCCTTTCGTTCCCACCACCGTCACAAGTATGGTTGGTAGGGACGAGAGAGAGGGCCTTCTCGGCGGTGGCCCCCCACCTCTGGAATGTCCCCCCAAGGGAAATAAGACAGGCCCCATCCCTCCCCTCCTTTCGTAAGAGCTTGAAGACCTGGCGGTTTCAACAAACCTTTGAGAATGACCAGTTCTAGTCCAACCCAAACATTGTTGAACATGGCTTTGCACTCTTATCTATTAGCCCGGTCATCCCTCGAATAGGCCTTGGAAATGAGCAGGCAGAGACCCGTACCTGCTATTGCCGTTAGCCTGTTATAGTACTGTACTTAATTCCCGGCTCCCTCATATTTTGAGTTTGCGCTAGACTTGGCCCGGCTTTTTAATTGCTCTGAATAGGCAGGATTATTTTTAATATACATGTGTTATTGTGATAATGTTATGCTTATGTTGTTTTGTGAATTTTATTTTATGATGTTTACTTTGTATGTTTCGGTGATATTACTTGGAAACCGCCCTGAGCCCCCCTCGGGGAGATAATAGCTGTATATAAATAAAGTATTATTATTATTATTATTATTATTATTATTATTATTATTATTAGATTTTACTGGCATATTTTGCACAGCTTGGAATTTTGCAACTGTAGTGATGTTGCTTGTAGACATGCAATACAGCTCCGTCTCCCAAAACCCAACCACTGGACATCCTGGTACAAATAATCCAGAGCAAGGGGAAGGAAGAGATGTCGGGTTCAGTAGAGTTGGGAAATACTCAGTTGAAAGACTCAAGGGGTCTTTCCAATGAGGGTAAGAATTATCAAATAACTCCCTAAACTTGTATTATAGATACATTATTAAAGAAAACCACAGTGGTGGTGGGATGAGAGGAAGCAATGTTTATTTGCAGAAGCCAAATGAGAGAAGACCTTACATGTATTTTTGTCTGAATGCACACTTTTAATATTTTTTTAAATTTATGAATTTAATCAATTTTAAGTTGCAGCTGCCTTGAAGGGATTTAAAATGAGGTGAATCTCAGCCGATGGTCATCCTGACTTTTCAACTGGCACTAACAAACAGCCCAACCACCTTAACGCCTACCTGCGTGACCGCATTTCTGTGTACGAACCCACGCGATCTCTTCGATCATCTGGAGAGGCCCTGCTCTCGCTCCCGCCCCCTTCGCAGGCACAATTGGTGGGGACGAGGGGGAGGGCCTTCGCTATGGTGCCCCCCTCCCCCACTCTGGAACTCACTTCCTAAGGATATCAGGCAAGCCCCCACAATGGCAGTCTTTAGGAGGAGCCTGAAAACATGGCTGTTCCAGTGTGCCATCCCTGAATAAAGGAAACAATTCCTTGAAAAATGTCCTCAGAAGCACTTTAATCACCCATTGGGTTGCTCTCCCTACAATTCTTTTAAAACCCTCCTACTAGATACATCCTACCTCTGTTCATGTCCAGCGTTTATTTTTAAAATTTTAACTATTACATCTGGCCCGGCCATAGGTTTTTAAATCTCTGCGTGCTATTGTCTATATGTGAGTTATATTAATTGTATTGTTTTATTTGCTTATTGCTTGTTGTTTTTATTGATGTGTTGTTGGGCTTGGCCTCATGTAAGCTGCTCCGAGTCCCCTTGGGTATAAATAAAGAATTATTATTATTATTATTATTATTATTATTATTATTATTATTTCAATGCACTTTCAAAGACACAAAGGGCCTGCTTCAATCAGTATAAGAACTGAGGGAGAGGAAGGGAAAAATCTAATAACACCTATTTATTTTATTTATTATTATTTATTTAGGGCTATTATATCCCGTCCTTTCTCAACCTCCGCAGAGGGACTCAGGATGGCACCCCATGGCACCCACATCAAAACATAAATATACAATTAACAGCAATGTAATAATAGTCAGCAATGTGGGCTAGGCAAAACTACGGTGAGGTGGATCTGTAATTGGTTAAGTGGACGAACACAGAGAGTGCTCACTAATGCTTCCTCTTCATCTTGGAAAGAAGTGACAAGTGGAGTGCCTCAGGGTTCCGTCCTGGGCCCGGTCCTGTTCAACATCTTTATTAATGACTTAGATGAAGGGCTAGAAGGCATGATCATCAAGTTTGAAGACGACCAAATTGGGAGGGATAGCCAATGCTCCAGAGGACAGGAGCAGGATTCAAAACGATCTTGACAGATTAGAGAGATGGGCCAAAACTAACAAAATGAAGTTCAACAGTGAAAAATGCAAGATACTCCACTTTGGCAGAAAAAACGAAATGCAAAGATACAGAATGGGGGACGCCTGGCTGAGAGCAGTACGTGTGAAAAAGATCTTGGAGTCCTCATGGACAACAAGTTAAACATGAGCCAACAATGTGATGTGGCGGCAAAAAAAGCCAATGGGATTTTGGCCTCATCAATAGGAGCATAGTGTCTAGATCTAAGGAAGTAATGCTACCCCTCTATTCTGCTTTGGTTAGACCACATCTGGAATATTGTGTCCAATTCTGGGCACCACAATTCAAGAGAGATATTGACAAGCTGGAATGTGTCCAGAGGAGGGCGACTAAAATGATCAAGGGTCTGGAGAACAAGCCCTATGAGGAGCGGCTTAGGGAACTGGGCATGTTTAGCCTAAAGAAGAGAAGGCTGAGAGGAGATATGATAGCCATGTATAAATATGTGAGAGGAAGCCACAGGGAGGAGGGAGCAAGCTTGTTTTCTGCTTCCTTGGAGACTAGGACGCGGAACAATGGCTTCAAACTACAGGAGGAGATTCCATCTGAACATGAG